TCGACTGCGCTTCATCAAATATCCTAATAGAAAACGACTCATATTAAAATTTTGTTAAGCCAGTAATTAATAAGAAACTCGAATTAAATTTAACTTTTATTATTTAAATTTCAGTCATATCACATTTTAAAATAAAATTTAAAAAATAAGATTTTATAATATTTAACTTTGATTTATTTTATAGAGTTAATTGCATCACACGTCCTCAAATTATGTTCCAATTTCACTCCTAAACTATGACTATCATTCTAAATTAGTCCTCAAACTTTTGAACATTTCAGTTTCATCCTAAAAACTATGACCTTCAATCTAAATTGGTCCCCAAACTTTTTTATCATTTCAATTTAACCTCAAACTATACGTATATACTAATCACTTTCTTTGTTAGTAAAATCGTTAAGTCAAGTTATATTATTATATGTTTGAAAAATAAAATAAAATTTAGGTTAAACTAAGCTTGAAATTAATTACATATTTGGGTGCCTTTTGAGATGAAATTAAAAGATTCAAAAGTTTAAGGACCAATTTAAGGTAAGAGTCATATTTTGAGGATGAAATTGAAATGTTCAAAAGTTTAAGGACTAATTTAGAATGAAAGTCATAGTTTAAGGATAAAATTAGAATATTCAAAAGTTTGAGGAACAATTTAAAATGATAATCATAGTTTGAGGACATATGATGCAATTAACTCTATTTTATAATATAATGTATAATTAAATAAAACTTTAAAATTTTAAAACTTAATTTGTGCATGAATTGGGTCCAAAAGTTTTTTCATGCCCATGTTTAAATTTGGCCCAACCTGACGGCTGGGTTTTACCGGTAATATATGATCTATTTTTTTATATTATCAATATGGATGAGATACTAGATTCTTTAAGCAATGTCAGATATTTGAATTCTTACGTTTGCGAATGTAACAAACTGAGTTAGGAATGTCTCCCCATAATGGGCCTCTATAAAATCTAATCTGAATTAATCGATCAATAAATCGAATACTAATGATTAATTAAAAATATTTTTATTTTAATAACTTATATTTTTACAAAGTGGTGGTGCTTTACAAAGTAAGATAAAACGACTTTGATTTTATTTGTCTAATATATCAGGCAAATTTCATCAGATAATGCTGTGAAAAAAATTTCTTGAGATACCAAAGAGGTCGCTAAGCCGTCCGAGCGACATGTGATGCTGCTGCAATTCTTCACGTGGGCCATGCATGTAGGTCGCCAAGCAATACAATCGTTATCTCTTTCAAAAAGTAAGTGAATTTCCTGTTTTGGTTGCTCAAAAGTTTTAAAAGTGAATTTCCTTCTTTGGTGGATTAAAATTATAAATTAAACAAACTAGAACTTGAAGAGAACGATGCATACATTGGTAGGGCGTGGTGGATCAGTACCACCAAGTTCTTCAAGGAGTTTAATTATTTAAAATCCTTTTTAATAAAAAATCAATTTGTAACTTTACAAAAAGAATTATTTATTTAACTATTAAAATAAAACAGTATTCTTCTATGAAAAAAAACATAGCATTCGTAAAATCTATCTAAAGTTTTCACATAATTAATTAGTATGATAATAATGTGTAAAATTATTTTAACTTCATGTAGAAATGTAAATTTTATAAAAATAATAATTTAACAATTACTTTTTTGAAAAATATGACAGTAGAATGCTTTTTCTTATTCACATGACATTGGTAATCTGAAAACCTTAATTAAAATATTTTAAGATCAATTTAGAAAAAGGATCCTTATATAACGATATAAAGTAAAAATAATTTAAGAAAATAATTTACGTCGATCATCTAATTTGTGGAGGTGACCATCCGTCTTAAGTCATACAATTTAATTGGAGACCATACGTAGATGCAGAAATTACGGCGTGTGTGCCGCACAATGTTTTTGATGGGTGTCAATATTTGTGTGTTGTTACACCATTGATTAATTTTGATTTTATTATCAAATTATCGGATAGAGTGTTGAGGCAATTCAGTTTCCACCAACCTATTCCGCAAAGTCCATGGGATCATGATCACCTCCACAAATTAGATGGTTGTCGTCAGGTGAATTGGGTTGAGATGCATGACCACCTCCACAAATTAGATAGTCATTGTAAAGAAAAGGTGAATTGGGTTGAGAAGCATGCAAGCTACATTAATGCTTGGAACAATAGGGCTTCATTCTTGCCAACTCTTGATCTCATTCAAGATGATGACTTTAATTTTGAGACTTCGACTTACCTTGATTATTATTGGGATAATAGAAAGTCGTTCTTAACAACAAGGGTAGAAAGGCGACAATTTTTTAAATTTAAGAAAAAAATTTGGTAAAGCTGAATACTCTCTACCGAGTGAGGCTAAGAGTTCATCTCAAAAACCTGAAGCGGAAATAACCCATGTGGATAATAGCGCACCACAACGTTCGGCGATGCGGGATCATTGCATTATGCATTTGATGATTCTACCGTCCCGACATACGTACCAGAGTTTGTGCAGCCTCAGGAACCATCTACTCTCCCATGTTTGAGTCGACATATGACTTTGACCAAATGACATTTATGATGTCAAATACCAGTATTTGTCAGTCAACGTTTCCAAGTGGGATGGAAGAGCAAACTGGTGGAATGACAGAGCATAGTGGTTGGAATATATTTACAACACCAGTTGAAATGCTCCCAATGAATGAGGAGGATAGGTACCATACTCCTAAGAACCGCAACGACCACAACGCATCAGACGTCTGCCCCGACATTATCATTCAACAACACCATGGTATCAACAACAATTATAAACTCAATTGTTATTTGTTTAAAATTAAATATTTAAATTAGACTAGTATTTTATTTTTAAACATAAGTTATATATTTAAATTTGTTTGGTATTTAAAAAATTAAAAAAATTATCAAATTAGTAGTAATCATTATTAAAACATTATTATCAAATCATTATTAAATCTTATAATTATATTATTAGTAATCATTAATAAATCATTAGTATCAAATCCAAATAATTAAATATTTATAATAAATAATTATTAGTAATCATTACTAAATCATTAAATATCAAATCATTAGATTAATAATAATTATTAAATCATTATTAGTAACATTAATAATCAACCAATCATATTAAATAATTATTAGTAATAATTCTCTCATGCATTATTTTGGGAAAAAAATAATCCCCCATGTATTATTCCGGCCATTTTGCTCATACATAAATTTTATAAATTCGATTTAAATTGAATAAATTTAACTATTTATAAATAATAATAAGATAAAATATAAATAAAATATAAATAATTCAATTAAAATGAACTTAAATAATTATTAAAAAAACATAATTCCCCCACCACCCAATGTATAACAACTTGGCTGTAAATACATCAAATTATTACATGCAATAAGGGATCACGGCGTTGAAGCCAATAATTCATTCAACAATTATTGTTGCCCTACCCCGTGAATGTTGCAATAATGCATCTATTATAGCTATTATGAATGCTGCAATAATTCATGCATGCAATAATGAGGGGAGCAGGGGTTGCAGCTGCGGGAGAGAAGTCTCAGTCCCACTCGGTAGAGAGTATTCAACTTTACCGAATTTTTTTTAAATTATTTTTACTTTATATCATCTTTTTTAAATTGATCTTAAAATATTTTAATTAAGGTTTTCAGATTACCAATGCCATGTGAATCAGAAAAGCATTCTACTATCATATTTTTCAAAAAGTAATTGTTAAATTATTATTGTTATAAAATTTACATTTCTACATGAAGTTAAAATAATTTTACACATTATTATCATACTAAATAATTATGTGAAAACTTTAGATAGATTTTACGAATGCTATGTTTTTTTTCATAGAAGAATACTGTTTTATTTTAATAGTTAAATAAATAATTCTTTTGTAAAAGTTACAAATTGATTTTTTTATTAAAAAGTATTTTAAATAATTAAACTCCTTGAAGAACTTGGTGGTACTGATCCACCAAAGAAGGAAATTCACTTTTGAAACTTTGGAGCAACCAAAAACAGGAAATTCACTTCCTTTTTGAAATACATAACGCTTGGATTGCTTGGCTACCTACGTGCACGTGAAGAATTGCAGTAGCAGCAACGCAATACAGGTCGCTCGGACGGCTTGGTGACCTCCTTGATCGTCCGGAGCATCTGGCGATCAACGTTCGAACTGTAGCAATCACCCCATTTCAGCAATTAATTCTTCAACAGCTTTAACTCAAGGATTTTTTTTTCACAGCATTATCTGATGAATTTTGCCAATATATCAAAATGGACCACGTGCATGTAGAGATGACAATGAGTCGTTTTTAGTGAATCTGACTAGATCCAAAAAAATATATATCTCCATTTAAATTTGACCTGATTTGAAAAATATATATCTTCTACTCGACCCGACTTAGATAGCATATTTCCTCCACTCAAATCCAACTTGATTTAATTTTTTATAGTATAAATTTGACTCGACTCAAACCAATCTGATATAAAATAATGACATAATTAAAAAAAATTATAGATATAGGGGTATTAAATCATTTATCCATAAATTTATATTAAAAATTACGCTATTATTCTCGGATCAAGTTGGAGATTTTTCACCTTCTACCCGAACCCGATGCGACCCGACCTCATATCTGCATAAACTCTGACCCGAACCGAATTCATTTTTTTTATAAATAAATCTTACCCTCAGATTGAATCGAGTCAGATTCCATCAATTTCAAATTAAATTGACATCCCTTCGCGCATGTAATGCTATTATTGAGGTCAAAGCCCATCGTGATGGGCCGAATTAGGCAATTTAAACAAGCGTGTGGCCCACGATAGCTTTGGAAACCAATCCGACAGTCTCAATAAAAGTTTACTTCCCCACTTGATCGGACGGTCATAATCAACCCTTTCCCATTTTTTAAAGTTTTTTCTAATAATTAATCCCAAATTACAGAAAGTCCCACATCCCCCTTTTTTTTCTCTCCTTTAGCCTGAAACAAAAACCATAAAAAAATCTCCTTTTTGAACCCTAAAACCCTTTTTTTAAACCTCATTTCAACCGCCCAATCCCACTATGAATGATAAAAAAAGATTTGCCTTTTCCAGCTCGGCTGTTGATGCCAACGATTCTGCTGTGAGTTTTCTGATATTCCACTCTTTTTTTTAAAAAAAAGTTAAATTTTAAAAAATGTTGCTGTTGCTTCATAGCTTCATACCCTGAATTGGCAACGTAGCCCTAATTTAGTTTTGTTTGTTCTCTTCTATAATCAAGAAAGTGGACCCTTTTAGCAGTGATTTATTGTTAAGATTTTCTGGGTTTAGTTAAAGTTTTATTGATTTAGAAGTTAATGAGCTCTAAACGAGAACAAAAATGTTAAAATTTGAATCTTTTGCATGAGTTTTTACTTTCAGTTAGCTGACAGGCATCTTGGGAAGATTGAAGGTTTTATTTTTAAATATTTGGTTGTGGGTTTATTGTTTTTTTAAGAATGTACTTGACTTGATAGAAGCTGAATGTGTTTATCATAGCTATCATTGTTCATGTTTTATGTCTACAGCAGCTTTTTTCCGGTTGATGATGCTATAGAGATTATGTTTTGAAAAGCCGGGAAAACCAACCAATAGAGCAAATTAATTTCATTTACTTAAGGAATGATTGGAAACAAAAAGTTTTTAACTTGCTTTTTACTTTCAAAAGATTGGAGTGTGCTTGCATTTTTTGAAAGAGGGCGGGAGAGGAGGGGATTGGCAAGTAATTGTGTCTATCTAGTTGATGGTTATTTTTCTGTGATTTGATCCATTATTCTTGTTGCCAAGGCTTCTTATATAATCATCGACTGTGGTGCAGTTCCGTAATAAAAGAATAATGGCAGAATCTCCTTTTGATGCTCAAAGGGAAGAACCATCTCAACAGCAGCCAAATGCAACACCACCACTAGACCCACAGCAAGCTGGGTTGTCTCGGCAGCATGTCAAAGCTCTCAATACCCAATTTGCAAGGTCCTGTCTCTGATGTTTCAACAACTTGCTTTTGCTTTGTATGTTTGTTTAGGACAGTGATTTGATCTTTTGCTACTTATAAAACAAGTTTGATGTATTTACCATTCTTTCTACCTTTATGTATGAATATCTTATCATTATGAGTCCCTAGTGTAACCAAGGTTCTTGCTTCTTTGTCTGTGGACCTCAGTAAACTTAGCAAACTTAGAGTTTTGTATGATTGTATTTATTTTCCATAACAACATTTATTTTAGCAGTTGGGTACAATCACAACTGAAGAATCACCCTGATGAGCTTTGGCAAGATGGTGTTAGTGATTACTTATGTCATGCTTCAAACATTATGGTAACTTCTGATGGTTTCTCATCCACTTGCAAATATTTGTGGTTATGGTTGTACAGTCTAAGTGAATGTATTGGTTTGCAAATTTTTTAGCTGTACTGTTAGATTCTTTGAGATCCATCTTTAAAGGATTTTGTTTTATTGTGTCATGCTACTTTTGTTTCTATATGTTATAAGTATATTTTAGTAATATATAGACTTTTCTAGTCTCTTTTTCTTTAAAGAGTGTAATATGAATTCTTCATGTAATTTCTTAATATTCATAAAACTAAAGCTAGCTGTCATGCTTGATTCATATATCGGTATTTAGTAGTTTGCGATTGGGTTTACTTGCTCTTACTATACACCTTTTAATTGACATAGATCAGAATATTATACTGTTCCACGATTAGTTTGATGACAGCTTTAGACTGACTGTATGTCTATTTGAAGTTAACTTATCCACCATCTAACTAAAACAGATGGGCTAACTTGGGTGTATGTCACAGATAACCTTCATTTGTGTATATGTGACTCCTTCTAATGTTTAAGTTAGAATGCAAGACAAGACCACATATATTCAAGGTATTATTGCTTTTGTTTTCTAACTTGAAAGGTACTCTATTTCCTCTTTTGCAGGAGAAGTTCAGTGACGTTGTGGATTGGCTCAAAGCCAATGCAGTAAATGTGAACAACTTGTCTGCTGCTGAAACCCATAAAAATGACAGTAAAATGGCGCCCGAAACCAAGAATCCGGAGAATATTTTTTTTCAAGGAAAAACTGGATTTACTCCAACCAGCACTACAGGCTTTGTTCCAGGCTCTACAACCACGAGCTTTTCTGCAGGCACTACAACCATGAGCTTTTCTCCAGGATCTACGGCTGGGACCTTTTCTCTGGACACTACAACTACACGCTCAACTCCAGCTGATATGACTAAAAAAATTCTTCCAGAGGGAACAACTACTAGCTTTACCTCTTCTAGTTCAACTACAAGTTTGACTTCAGCTGGTCTGACAACAAGCTCAATGGCAGCTGGTTCAAAATCAAGCTTTACATTTGGCCTTGCAACTGCAAGTTTTGCTTCCTCCAGTACAACAAGTAGCTTCACTTCATCTAATATGACTGCGAGCTTTGCATCTCCTTGGAGCTCTGGAGTATTCTCTAATAGTCAGTCTCCTTTCTTGTTTGGTAGGTGTTGCATCGACTTTTTACAACAAATATTTGTACAAGGATTAAAATTCAACATTATTGGTTTGAATATATTAAGAAAATTACATGTGCCTAGAAGGAACAAAAGATGAAAGTTGTAACCTCAATCAAAGTCGAGTTTGGATTCTGCTCGTGTTAGTTTTGTCAAATTAATTTCACTTCCTGTTTTGTTATTTCAGGAACTCAGACCTCAGTTTCTGTGGACAACAATGCAGCCGATGACGCAGATGATGGTGGGACAAAGAAACTTTATCTTTTGGTTCTTATTTACTGGATATTGTTTATGTTTAGTGCCACTTCTTCGTTAAATTCAGCGTTATCATGGAAGTTTTTACTTTTCTAGGTTATTTTTCTTTATTGGTTTTAAGTAGATAGGTCAACTCTTTATCCCTACCTCTCTCGACTTGTAGTAGTGTTACCTTCTCACTAATGCGCATTAGTAAGTGTCATTTTGGATTGTCAGATAATGAGTTGCCAAAACCTAGCAGTCCATCAGTGAAGAAATCGGAAGAGAAGGGTGTTGTTGTTGTTCATGAAGTCAAATGCAAGCTATATGTCAAGGTGTATCTTCTGAAAACTTGCATTCAGTTTTGATTTTCAGATTCGCTTACTCTTGGTTTGTGTCATGGTGTTTGGTCTGACCTTCCATTTTGTTACCTCTTTCCTACCTCCTTTTATGCCAGTCAACTGATCCAGCAGATAAAGATTCATGGAAAGATAAAGGCACAGGAAAGCTCTCCATTAAATGCAAAGAGGGTATCAGCAAGGGTTCAAAAGATTCCAAACCGACAATTGTTGTACGAAATGATGTATGTTCCTTTATGTCCAATGTAGTGGTTTTATAAATGTGATTCATGAATGAGCTGGTGTTCAGTGGGTAGATATGAGACAGTTCACTCTTAACCACAAAAATTCCCGTGTTTTTTAGCTATCTCTAACTTCTATAACAATGTATTGGTTGCAGGTGGGAAAGGTGTTACTGAATGCTTTGCTATATCATGGGATCAAGACAAGTTCACAAAAGAATTCCCTTGTCGCAATATTTCATACTTCGGTAATATATATTAAAGCCAAATGTTTGGGTATTTTGGACATTCAGTTTTCTAATTTTGGTATTGTGTATGCCTTCTGTCATGTCATTTGTATCTTACAATGATTTATTAGCATAGCTTATGGGCATGTATGTAGCAGCTGGAATCGTTTACCTTGCACTCAATAGTTTAGGTTACCCCTAGTCTTGCGGATTATCATACTCGAAGACATTCATTTGAAAATTCAATTATAGCCCCACAGTTAAATATACTTATGGTTCAGGGCTCTAGAGTAAAGGTCTAGATGTTAACATTTAATTTTTACTGCTCATCTCGAAAGTAACATTAGGACCCATTGCCTGGTGCAATGCCTACTTTTGAGCTGATGATCGTGGGATACAAGGTCGATCTTGGAAGTAGGATTATTTTGGCCTTGTAAGCTGCTCTGGAGTATGAGAGAAGTTGTAAATATGTTATAGAGCTAAGCATGCTGCAGCTATGTAGTAAATTTTACTAACATGGAATTTGGATGTGGAAATGTTAACAAGTATATTGGTAGCTGGAACATGTGATATAAGGTATATTTGCTTCGAAATTGTTCTTTGCAGAATTTGACCTTGTCGAGTATTTCAGTGACATCTCTTGGATTATGTAGGATGAAGGTGGCAATAACGAAGATGTCGTGGCACGGACCTTCTTAATTAGAACAAAATCAGAGGATGACCGAAACAAACTGGCAACAGCAATCCAAGAGTATTCTCCCGCATCGTAAATTGTATGTGCCATCATCCTATTCGTGTAACCTTGAATGAGAGTATAATTTTACCTGGATTATGTTAGTCCTTTACATTTTTCCAGGGTCGGCTTCTTAGTGATTGGACCAGCTTGTTCTAGTGGCTCCAAAAGGAATGGGGCCTATATCATAGATGGATTTCATTAGATTGTTATATGTTCACAGCATTTGCACCATTAACGGAGATTACAGGGATTATTTATCCCCATATCTGTTATCCGAATTTGCACACCCTAGTTGAATGCACTGAATTTTGGTCGATTGTATTTATACCTGTTGCATCTGTTCATCAATCAAGCAATGAATTTGGATCAACGGTGTTTAGTTGGATGCCTAGATGGAAACTTTATAACTTGTATGTATATAGGGGTGAGTAAAATTTGATTCGATTTGAAAACCCGACTCAACTTTACTCGAATTTCATACATTCAACATGACTTCAAAAAGAAATTAAAATAAAGTTTTAATGATAAAGTATGATTTGTCAACTCGAAATTTTTTAACTTGATTCAACTCGACTTGATTGAATAATCATTTTAATTCCTCTTGTCCTTAATTCTTCCTTGATTTTAAGGTTCATTTTTTGTCATATTTAAACTACACATTCCCCTATTGCTACGGAATATTTGTGTAACTTTAATTTTTACATTTTACTTAATAAAAAATGTTCAAAATATATTGTTTTACTTAAAAGTGGCGCTTAAACTTTTTTTTGATCAATCTAAGTATATAATATTACAAACATTACTATTCTATGTGCTTTGGTAGTAACGTTCGTTAAAATATTTTGTTAAATGGCATGTATCGCATTTAGGTAATATTGAAAATTTTATTTAAAATAAAAAAAATTATGTTTTAAAAAATCAAAATTTTAAAAATCTTTAAAAAAATCCCAAAACTTTGAAAAACCTAATACCAATCTGTATATCCTCACCTATTGTTGTCGTTACTGTCGATTAGATCTCCACCTAATGAACAGTCAAACACGATGATCCGAAAGCCATAAACTACGACGAACAATTGACGAAGAGAATGGCAAAGTTCAACCCCAAACAGCAAAATCATATACCCAAGCAACTCGATGGCACTCCTGACGACTGACAAAGGAGATGTCAAGGATGGCGGAGGCAGCGAAAGTTGCGGCCTGTAATGGAGACAATAAGGTTAAGGTTACAGTTAGGGTTTATAGTTGATTTTAAGGATCTTTAGGGATTTGGGTTTCTTTTATAATTTTAGAGAATTAGAGTTTTTATACATATGATAATTTTTAAAGTTTTTTTAAAACAACATTTTTAAAATTACTTGAGTACACTTAATGGCAGAATGTAACGTTTGTTACGATCGAGGCATCTAAAGTGATAATGTTTATAACATTAGACACCTAAAATAATTAAAAAAAGTTTAGGCATTACTTTGGAAAAAGTGTAGTAGTTTTGGCACTTTTTTAATTTTTTTATATTAAACCTTTATTTTTTAACAATAAATTTACTCTTATAATACCTCAATTTTACATTTTATTTAATTTTTTTGCTACTGTTTACTTTTCAATTTTTTTCTTCTCATAAATTCTATAAATTCTATAAATTTTAATGGCATTCGATTAATGTTAAAAAGAATATGGTTAAAAAAGTCCTTAAATTGCCAAAATGGTTGAAATTATGTCTTTTAAAAAATTACCAAAATAATCCAATTTGAGCATTATTTCCTAGGCTATGGCGATTGCAACAATACCTTCAAAAGACTTCAGAGTGAAATGAGTCTTAGTTTGAATACTACAAGACTACTATGCGTATTTAACCTTCCCATGTATTTCAAATTTCAGATACATGTTGTATTTCTAGAATCTTCAACTGAAGACTCATTACATTCCTAGAATTTTTTGAAGTCGCATGAATCACCATGCGTCTTCTCCTATGCACTGTAGCAATCATCCTAGTATCAAAATAATCGGTGAGTTACAATCTTGTTTAATTCAAATTTATTGTCATATTAATCATAATCATTATATAAATATTTACAATTAAATTGATAATTACCTGTTAATGTGGTGAAATAAAGCGTGAAATGTTAAAATTCGATGACTTCTAGAAATTGAAATTCGTATGAAAAGGAAAATCCTTAGGTTTATATACAGCACTTGTCATTTGCAGCCATGTGTTTGTTATATGGTTCACATTGATTTGAATTAAGTTTGAGTTTTACTTTCATAAACTCAATTCGAATGGAGAAAAATTTAAATTTGAATCGAGTTATAAAATAGAACTCAAATAGTAATTCAAAGTTTTTAGTTATTAGTAGATTAATTTTCAAGTTTGTATTGAGTCTCTCGATTCTATATGATATATGTATATCACATATGAAAAAAAATATGAATATATATATAGAAAATCATTTAAATTGAAATTAAATATTATCATAATATTATAATTATTTACAATTAAATTCAGGGTAAAGTATATAAATAGTCCCTCAGGGTGATGTTTTCTTGAGCCTCTCGACTATTAAAAATTATAAAATGTTCCTCTAACTATCATATGTTGCTTTGTTGAGTCACCGACTATTAAAAGTTACAAAATGGTCACCCGACTATTTAGTATGTTCTAAACATGTTATTTTCCGTTAAAAACTGAACTGCAATCTCGAACCTAAAATTTTCAAACTCAACTCAAACTCAAAAAATAATATTAAAACTCGACTCGAACTCGAAAAAGCTCGAACTCAAAAAACAATTTAAGAGCTCGATTGAAGCTCGAGACTCAAACTCGAATTGGAACTCGAATAAAGCTCGAATTTAAGCTTGATCCCTCAAAAATAAATTTAATATCATATGAGCCATTAGCCTACGTATCAGATATTAAGCTAATAAACACACACTACTCTTGATCTTAGCCAAAAGGCCGAGAAAAGATATACTTAAGTTCTTAACACAAGCGATTAGTCCACTCGTTTTATAACTGCTCTCCAGCACTCTAACTCTCTTCAACACGTGGGATATAAATGCTCTCTTCAGCGCCCGGTGTGGGATATAAATTCAAAAGGCTTTGGACTAACAATGAGCCTTTATCTATTCTCTTTATCTCTATCGAGTCCACTATATTACTCAATCTTTGATATTGCTCTTGTCTTCTCCGTCGACCATGATTCGCTTCTTGAAATATTCGAACTCGAATATTACCCACCACCACCCGCCTGCTCGACTCATCCGTTGCTCAAAATTATCGTCATTTCTCTCGCTTTGCAGGGGATGTTGGCAATGATGATGATCTTCAACACCCAGGGTCATGGAAATTGATGGAGGGTCTCCGCCGTTGCTCCGCCAATTACGTGCCTTTGTGCCTTTGTCCCCCATTAGCTTCCTGGAGAGAGATGCAAAGGTTTACAGAGACAGAACATTACTTGTTTATGGTTCTCGTAAGTTCACATGGAGTCTGACGCATCAACGTTGTCTCAAGCTCGCTTCTGCCCTGTCCCAGCTCAAGATTTCCTGGGGCGATGTGGTTCGTCTCTCTCTCTCTCTCTAATATAGCTTGCTTCTGCCACTTTGTTTTGCTTTACTTTTGAATCTTATTTTACTATTTGGTGATGGTTGATATCTTCAAGGATTACTTCTACTGGATTCTAGTATGATTTTCAGTTTATCTTCTGATTTCTTATAATCAATCCGATGAAAAATATCAAGTTTTTTTTAACAAATTTAGTTTCAGAATTTATGGAAAATCAATTTGTATGTTGATTGGACTAAATACTAGTTTAGTTGTAATAAATTCATGATTTTCACTTACACACGGTACCTTTGTGATTGATCTGCCATCAACATTCAACATGCAGAATCAAGCTGGCTTATATTCATTTTTAATTCACCCTGATATGTACCTAATGCTTGTCTTTCTTTCCTTTTGCTTTCGTGTTGAGGAGAATTTGTTTGCTTTTGTTGAACTTTAACCAGTATTTTATATAATACTTCATGGAGGTGTTTTTTTGAATTATAGAATCAAATGAGATTCCCATTTTTTTGCTCTTTGTTTAAGCAGGTTTCGACCCTAGCTCCCAAAGTTCCAGCAATGTACGAGCTGCATTTTGTTTAAGCTGCATTTACAGATCAATTGCATATAAGACCCTGTACTTTATGCGTATTTTGTATTTAAGTCATTGGTTTAATTCCAATTTAAGTCAATAATCTTCTTTGGTTATCAATTTTCTCTCAATTCTACATTTGAAACGTCCGAGAACATAGTCAAATATACCGTCAAAGAAATGGTTGCGGTCTGCACAATCTGTTACTGAGGTAAATCTGTTGTTGATGAGATGCTTCCTACATATTTAGCTAATGTGTTGTAACGTATGATATCATTTAATTGGATTCTTAATTAATGTTTCTAGGTCACATATCCTGCTCCTGCTCATCAAGCTTCATGGTCAATTGATGACCTACCCAAATCTGTTGCTTGTACCATTCACCAGGGATCCAACACGACAAGCATGTATCGTGTAGGCACACTTTAGTTTAGGTAATAATTTAATCCTATTTAGGATTGTCTTATTTAAGTAGTTGTGTATATTTATTTTGCATGTTGATATGTTTATCTATAAGTATGCGAATGATTTATTTAGGAATCAAATAACATCATTTTGTATAATTTGTATGTTAGCTTCATGTGTATAACTTAAACCCTTAACTCTAAACCTTAAACTCTAAACTATAAACCATAAACCTTGCACCCTAAATCATAAACCATAAACACTAAACACTAAATCATAAACTAAAAAACCCTAAATCCTATATCATATACCATAAACCCTAAATACTAAACCATAAACCCTATCACATAATTACAATGGATGAGATGTCTTAGTTGTATTATAGAATTTTTAATATATTTTTAAAAATTTATAATTATCAATAATGTATTTTTAATAATGTAATTTTAAAAAATCTAAAATTATAATATAACATTTTTTTGAGCTGCTCACGAGCTTTTCGAGTTGAATATCGAGTAGCTCGTTTCGGCTCGTTAAGAAATCGAGTCGAGTCTATTCGATCCGATTATTTATCAAACCTTAATCGAATCGATCTCGAGTAGCTCGCGATCTATCTTACCTCATTTACTGTCATAACCGTACATATGACAGTTTATTGCCTAAGTTGGTTTCACGAGATTTTATCGTTTCGCTTAGATCTGTAGGTGTGGGACAGTGGGAATGGCTGCCACTTTTGTATTGTGAATCACCACATTATGTTGTCATAATGTCATTGGCTTTCTGTTTTATTGTGTCTGATTGGGAACTCTAATTGCCATTCATTGAATTTAAAACTCAATTATTGTTTTTAAATAATTACCGATATCTTATTTATTAATTAACTAATTTGAATCAAATATTACAAAAATTCTCTCAATACAATTTTAAAATTCAGTTATTACAACACTCCAAACCAATATCATTTGATATATATTATTGATGAAGTATCTAAACTTTAATGTAAGGTCGAATCAGGTTGGATCGAGTTCAAATAGAAGAAATATGATTTTTGAATCGGGTCAGATCAGGTGGAGTGTATGCATTTTTTTAATTGGGTCAAATTCAAGTGCATGATATATTTGGTTTGGATCGGATTGAACAAAAACCCGATCAACAAGACTCGTTAACATCCTTATTCTCAACAATGCTAAGATTTGGTATTATAGGATAATTTTAACACATAATCTTAACCAATATTTTATCTACAAAATTAATGAGTTAATTGTATCATATGTCCTCAAGCTATAACTCTCATTTTAAATTGGTATTTAAATTTTTGAATATTTTAATTTCATCCTCAAATAATGACTCTTATTCTAAATTAGTTCTTAAACTTTTGAACATTCTAATTCATCCCTAAACTATGACCCTCTCTCTAAATTTATCCACAAACTTTTGAATATTCTAATTTCATCTCTAAATTCATGCAAATATTTAATTAGTTTCGACCATAATTTAACTTAAATTTTTGTTTTTTTTCAAACATATAACAATATAACTTGACTTAACAATTTTATTAACAATGGATGTAATACCAAACTGAACCGTAGAACCAAATGTAAGTACCAAAATATATTTTTACCATTCATATTATAACAACAATTTCATTTCTCAAACTATCAGAAATTATTATATTTATTAAAAATTTAACTGAAATAAATAATTATATTAAATAAATATTGCATATTTTAGATCTTGCAATGGTGTATGGTCGCATGCAACCCACTATAGAGCTTTCACATGTAACCCAATAGTCGAATTTTATGGAAAATAAAATTGACAACTCACATAAATAAGATTTACATATATTTAGTTTTGATTTTATAATAATAATTTATTTTAATTTAATTAATAATATAAAGTATTACTTTTTGAAATGAATAGTCAATTATCTTTATATTAAAATTTGGCTTAAGGTAACTTTTGCTCGTGTAATAAACCTAATTTATCATTTTTGCTCCTATGGTATTTTCACATTATTTTAACTCTCAAAGTTATTTAATTGCATCATTCTATTCCTTAACCCTAACTCAGAATCCTAAACCCTAAACCATAACCCCTTAACCTTTAAACCCCTAACACTAAATCCTAACTTAAAACCATAAATAATAGTAAATATTTTAAATATTGATACAATTGAACAATTCTGAGGGGTTAAATTAACACTAAAAATATCATAGGGATGAAAATGATAAATTGAGTCTATTACAAGAACAAAAGTGACCTTAAACCTAAAATTTTTATACATAAAAGTGATTCATTTTAATCTAATTAAGATCAGTTTGATAGTTTTTTCAGAAAGCAGGTGAAAAATTGATTTTTTTTAAATTGATTATGGAATGAGCATTTGGGTTGTTTTGTTTAGATTTATCTAATAAGTTAACTTTTTAAGAATTAATTTTTAAGTAAATTAATTATTCAAATGCAATAATGTATAAATTTTTATTTAAAAGAATAATTTTTATTTTTATGAATTATCCAAATATTTTTTAAAAGATATTTTTAAAATATCAAATTACTAATATAGTAAATAATTAAAGGATATTTTCCCTGATTCAATATTTTCTCAAACTCACACTTTTATATATTATGTTTATATTTTTAAACACATTTTCTTGATTCATTTTTGAACAAAATATTTATTCTCTATATAAGGATGAAACCAATAATATTTTGAGAATAAATAAATTATAATTCTTAAAGGGTTTTAAATATAAATTCACCATATCTTTAGCATATATTTTATTATTTTTAATGTCTAAAAAATATATTTTTTAAAAAAATATATTTTTATTATTTTTAAATGAGACAGTGTAATTTTATCATTGTTTAAATTTTAATTTTTTTGCTAATAAATTTTAAATTTTAAAAATAATAAAATTATTATATACACATTTAAAAGTAATATCTTTAAAAAAACATAAAAGTAATAGTAATTTAGTTGGGACTCATGCAAATTAGTTTGACCTAACATGTGAATATAATTAATTAAATATTTTAAAGTATATTATAAATTAGAACCGAAATTAGTTTTACCTAACATCTTCTTTAAGCGAGTATAATTAATTAACTATTTCATTCAGTTCTCTCTATTTTTAATACTGTATTGAAGTAATACAAAATTAAAAATATGATTAAATTATGTTTGAATTTCTGTAAAATTAAGTATTCTAAACTTATATTAAAATCTGAGCAAATAAACCAAGAAATTCAACCATAATGTTTGGATACATGGTTCAAAAGTTAAAAAACAGTTTTATACGAAATTAATTTAATTTTTTTATTTTTAAAATATAAAAGTTTTTATATTTTAAATAGTAAAAACAATTTTAAGACAATATATAAATATTATTAACTATTTTTTATTACTTGAAAATTTAACTTTTTTAGA